GAGGTTTGCCAGAGGGGCTGTGACCCCGAAGGTTGAGAACCGCTGGGCTAGAGCGATGACTCAGTGGTTAGAAGTGCATTTTGTTCCTGCAGAGGACCCGACTTTGGCTTCCAGCACCCACACTGGGTGCCTCCCTGCCCGTCCCTTCAGGTGTAGAGGGATCTGATGCCCTCTTTTGGTCTACACAGGCACTTGCACTGGTGTGCACATTATCATCTCCCCCAAATACATGATTAAAAATAAAATATATCTTAAAAAAGCAAACAAAAACAAACTGAAGATGGAAAAACAAGTCACGCCAAGGATACCGGGAAGGGGGTCGTACGATACTTTATTTGAGAGAGAGAGAAGTCACTTACACAAGAGGCCGAGAATTGAGCTCAGTGCACCATTGGTCTCCGACCACAATCACAGCCTCAAGAAAGAGCGCAAGTCCCTTTCTCTTCCTTTTATTGCTCCTCTCCCCACATACCTGTGACCATGTCCCAATGGTCAGGTCAGGTCATGGTCAGTGTTGGGGATCTGTGAGATCTCTTTCTACACTAAACAAATGAGATAAGGAGTACAATGACTAACTTGAAAGACACCTTCTGACCTGATTTGCTTTTAAGGAACAGTAAGGGGAAAGAATGTGAAAAGTGAAGAATACATTTGCATCAAGATGTAACCTGACAAGGGTCTACAGTTACGCTTTCATCTCCCAGGTATCATTCAAGCCCCGGGACAAAATGACAGACAGACAGACAGACAGACAGGCAGGCAGGCAGGCAGGCAGGCAGACACACACACACACACAACACACACACACACACACACACACACACACACAAGTCATGCCTAATGAATATTGTGGTGCAAAAGGAATTAGCATAGAAATTCTATTCTCACCAGAATGTTAATGCATTTTCAGCCGTGTGTGTGTGTGTGTGTGTGTGTGTGTGTGTGTGTGTGTGTGTGTGTGTATGTGTGTAGTCAGAGAGATTGATCTATAGTCTGGGACTTTACCACAAAACAGGAATATTTGTAGACACGCTGTACCAGAGTATTTGAGCCACTACTGTGCCTGTGTGTCTAGACTCAGAGGCTCAAGTCAGTGCCAATGCCACTGGTGAGGTCCCACCTAGTAAGAAGTCAGCACAAAAGTTGAATTCCAGAGGAAGTTATCATATCACAGGCCAGTTTCCATGTGGGAAACACCAGACCAGAAAATGTACGTCAAATAAAGAGGTTCTTATTATCCTAAAAATAAGCCATACCGTTTGCAGCATGGTGCTTTGTGTTGGTTTGAAACTAAAAGAGTAGCACTGAATCCTGATTTTTTTTCCAACTTAATATCTGTTACATTGACAAATACCTTAAACTCTCTGAGTCCTGGTTTTATCATGTGCAAAATAGATTCCTCACAGTTCTTTCATGGAAGAGTTAGGGACCTGTGGGTGTAAATTGTTATCCCATGGATACTGATTAGTAACTATTGCTACTGTTAATGATATTAAATGAGACAGGGAGCCCTCTTGTTTGAGAAAGTGGGGGAAGTCTTCTTGGAAACACTCTCTCCTTTGGCATTCTTCTATCTCCTTGAGGTGAGGATGGGGTGAGATCTGGGTGTGGAAAATGGCAGATGTTGGTAGGGTCTATGGATGGGGTAGCTGTGGGCAAAAAAGGAAAGTCTATGGATTTCTGTTAGTGTCATAGCATGCTTGTTTAACTGATGTGCTGACCTTAGAGCCTGCTCTGAGGTACATATGATACCTTGTGGTGATCTTACATGAATGGCCATGTAAGAGCGAGGGCTTGAGAAGGGTATTTTCCATGGGATAGGGAGAGGAGATACTATTTATAGTAAACTTACTAATATTTGCTATGTCAGGGCTCAGAAAATGACTACAAGCTGAAGACCTCAGAAGCCAAATTTATGCAGTCTCCCATCTTCCTTCCCTAGGTAGATCATAGAGACTAGAATTTATTTTTGCTTAGGCAGGTGCAGGACCCATGCCTTCAAAGTCAGACATAAAACCTAAAGTCACCTTCCTTTTCCTCCCTTTTGCCGTAGAGTTGATGACTGGAAGTTCTTCCACATTTGACTGTAGATCTTAAGCTCACTAGTCCAGGAAGGGTCCTGTGCCATCATATCTGGACGGAGTGCCCGAGAAGACTGTGACTAGGCAGACCTCTCAGATTTCCATCTCAGCTCATCGCTGTTAGGTCAGACTCTTTTGACCCATCACATGTCTACGTGACTCTCAGTGCTTCATCAAACCTAAGAATGCACAGTACATACAGACTCCTTGAGTGTTCAACCTGCAGGCTCCTGTGTCATTTAAAACGGTATCAAACAAATTTGTTGTGATTTTTCTGTTGTAACCTGTCTTTTGGTATAGTGGTATTAGCCATGAAACTTGAACGGGAAAGGAATCACAGGTTTTTTGTTTGTTTGTTTGTTGTTTTTGCTCCCGCAGTTAATAGAACCAACTCTTGGTATATGCCACAGGTAAGACAATAGTAAATATGCAGACTGATATGAGATCAGTGGATTTCTTTGAACACTCTTGTACACATCAGGTATTACTGTTATTTCTCATCACTATCAACCCTGCCTCCCGAATATAAGATCTGCTGTGAGTGGCTGAATTGAGTGTTTCAGGGCTTGATCCCAGCCTTCCTGTTCCCTGGTCACTATTTAAACTGTGGTTTTACTGGCTATAAAAATCTACTTCATAGCGTTTGAAACTTGAGCTCAAGGAGGAAGCATTAAGATTCATTGTAAGTACTCTTACTCTAGTCACAGACAGAGGCCCAGGTCTTACACAGTTGAGTAACATGGAAATGGTTGGTTGGGGTGAGATGTAGTTTTTGACCGCTCTTCTTGTGGAAATGTGGAATGGGTGAGTACTACCATGGTTTTTCAATGTAATGTCGGGCAGAAGAAAAGTCTGATTTCTCAGGTGATGGTCCAAACTCTGGCAAGTGACCACTTTAAAGTGCTCAGTGACCTGAAGTGACAGTGGTGTGGCAGAAAGCAGTTGGAGATACACACTGTCTCAGAACTGTTGTGCTTCCAAACATGACCCTGGGGCCTCCCTTCCTTCCCTCCCTCCCTCCCTCCTTCCTTCCTTCCCTCCTCCCCTCCCCTGCTTCTTCTTTCTCCTGACATCAGTTTCTTTCAAATCATGGGATTAGATGCAGGCTGACATAGAAGGCTCTGGCAAACCCCTCCACATGGCCTTTCAGGAACAAACTGGATGGTTGAGGATGGGAGGAGAATGCGGTTTTATATCACATATCCTAATCATTTAAAGTGGGAAAATACCCTAGCTCCTCACTAAAGTAGCTCAGTGGTTACAATCGAGGAATTGAAAACCACAGGTTCGACTGAGCAATTTCCCTAGTGCTTTTTCAGGTGCCACAATGCCTCCTCCTTTTCACCAGGTGTTCTTGCCCACGATGCTGGCAGGTGCCTGACACTGCAGATAGCACCAGAACCTACGTACACTGTTTAGCCTATACACACTTACAATGGTACAGTGGCTTAACTTGTAATGGTTACAATAAAAGTAACATATTAGAAAAAAATAGAAACTATATTGCAATAAGTTATGCAAATGTTGTTTGTCAAAAAAACAAAAACAAAAACCCAAAACGTGTTTCCTCGTGGTTTTTGTCTTTCTAACCTTGTCTAAGGAGCTGTTTGGCACATTTCTTATACTTTCTGAACCTCTTTCTGTAGAGGTTTTCGACTCTATGGTTTCTAAGATGAAAATTGCAGTGATGTAAGAAAAAAATGGCTCTGGGGGAGTGAAAATTGGCTTCGTTACTTGCAGATCCACGTTACAAAAAATAGACTCAGTAGAACTTCGGACCCAAAGAGTCTGTATTACTTACCGCTGGCAATAAACTAGAATGAAGGAGACAGACGGACACACTAGTCTACACAAAATGTTAAGGCTACTAAGCATCTAGAACACCATGAGGCAGTTTATGCGTCCGAAATCACGACTGGGAGGGAGGTTTGGTCCCCAGATTGAGTGGCGGGGCTGGGACATTTCAAGATTTCTAGGATCCATGAAGAGCTAAAATTAAGGGGATAGTCTGAGGTAGTGAAAGTGTACCGCTAAGATTGGGCGGTACAGACTGTGTCAGGGGCTTGGAGACTACGGGAACGAAGTTTGAATGACAGGAATTAGGACCAGTAGAGTCTGGGTTCTGAGTGGCGGAGGCGGGACCAATCCAGCGGAGGCGGGGTTCTGCAAGCCGGGCAGGATCGGTGCGATAGGGGCGGGACTCTGAGAACTGGGGGAGGAGTTTTAGATCCCCGAAGTGTGGAGAGACGCCTGGGGAGGGTCCCTGTGGGCGGGATCAGAACAGGAAGTGCTGAGAGGCTTTAGGGAAGGATCCGGTCGAATTGGGCGTGAGGTTATAAGTGGCAGAAACCAAAACCAATAGGAATCAGGATCTGCATGGTGGGGCGGGCTCTGCTTTCTGGGGGCGGGGTTCCACGATTCTGGGGGTAGAGTCCCAGGATCAGGGGGCGGGACCTATTTGGAGGGGTGGGCTCGGTCCTCGGGGGCGGGGCTCCGCGGACGGCGGGGTAGGGGGGTGAAGGGGGAGTCTAAAACAACAGGAGGAGGGTTCTGTAGGAAGGGGCGTGGCCCTGTTGGCTAGGGGCGGGGATAATGTCATCAGGGGCCGACCCTGCGGGGCGGAGCAGGCTCCGGATTCGCACGCCATCCCTAAACTAGCTTGGGTGGGGGCGGCTTTTGGAGGAAGCCGGAAGCAGCGACGGCCTCGGGTCCAGGGACATGGCGGGCGTTAAAGGTACACCGCGACCCCCGCCCGCGGCCGGTGGTTGGGGTTGCTCCGGCTCCCAGCTGTGCCGCGAGCGGCTTGCTGCGCGTGCGGGCTCTTGCAGACCCGGGGCTCCCGCGTGCGCTGCAGCGGTGTTTCACGGACCCTATGAATGCTCGAGCCCACGCTCGCCAGACCCTTGGCGGGGGGCTTCTCCTCTGGGATGTGCGTTCCACTGTCGCCTCCTGGGCTTCTCAGTTCCCCGTGGGTCACACCAGGGTCCCACATCCTCACCTTGCTGCTTCTCCGCAGTTTCCCGTGGCTTACAGAAGAGCCTTTGTCTCCAGGCAGGGTGTTGGGAACTTGATCCTGTTGTTCCTTAACGATTTCCTAGATGGGCAGAATCAATTCCGGACGTGTGGCAGTGAGAAGTAACCAGAAATAACTCTACTCGTCACAACTTTGGGGCTCTGATTAAGTGGGATTTTTAACAAGACTTTCTTGAGTGTTTTCTTTGACTCGACTGTGAACGGACAACGCCGTGAGTGTGCTGTTTGTGTTTTTGAATGGTGATTAAAGGGGGTACACAGATTACCACCCTAATATGTATGAATGAAGAGTAATAGGGGTCTGAGTGGAGACGTAGTTATTGGAAGGCTTCCTGTTATTTGCGTTTCTGGTCATTCGCACAAGGTAGACTAACTTGTCTCTTGTGTTGGACCTCCTTTCCTTGAAAACTCTCCACTAAGATCTTCCCACTTACCAACATGTGTACAGATGAACAGCATGTATCTGTGTGAGCAGCTAGTAACAGACGTACCTTACCGTTTCTGGAGGACTTTTCTATTCCTTATCAGCTGAGTAAATGTGGTTTACTTGGGTAGTGTCCCATATGTAATACTATATTCATTTGAAGGCAGTGCAGAAAACAGGAAAAATGGTGTCTCACCACTACATGGTGTTTGGTCATGGCTGGAAAGTACACAGTGGTAACAGTAGTTTATGTGTGAACGCGCTAGAAATCATGTAGTGAAAAGGAACACAGCCTATGAAGTGGACGAGAACTTAGCAAAGTAAAACATTCTGCCGGTAATTCAGTTGTTATTACGAGACTATATTGGAGACAGGATAAAAGACAAACGAGACGTTTTTTACCGAGCCGACAGCTGCAGATAATTATATTGTAAGGGAATGAGGTGTGCTCAGAGACAGTTGGTAGCATAGAGATAATATGTTGGGGTGAATCATGTCCCTCCAAAGAGATGTTCAAGTTGTAACTCCCTAGTGCCAAATAGGGGTGTGACCTTATTTGCAAACAGCAGATGTTATTATGATGTCCTTCAGATAAGAGGAAATTTGTACATGAAGACATACAGGGAAAGCCCGTGTAAGAACAGAAGCAGAGGGCTACAAGGAGGCTTAGTACAGTGGTCCTTCCTAACGCTATGACCCTTTAACACATGATCCTCAGCCCTAAAATTATTTTCATTGCTGCTTCATAGTTGTAATTTTGCTACTGTTATGTTTTGTAAATATCTGTGCTTTCTTGGTCAACCCCTGTGAAAGGATGACCCAAAGGGGTCATGATTCACAGGTTGAGAATCACTGGCTTGGTAGGAAAGGCACTTGCTGCCAAGCCTTAAGACCTGGGTTTGATCCCTGAGACCCGAGTAGTGAAAGGAGGAATCCCGAGAGAACTGACTTCACAAAGTTGTCTGTACATGTGCTATGGCATATATATCCCCCTGCCCCCCCAGCTTACAGAAATGTGGTTGTGAACTCTGAGATGGTTTGGAACAGAAAGAAGAAGTAGGTTTGTGGTTCACATGCTGTAGGTTCCTGGAAGAGGTGGTCTGTCACAGAGGAACAGAGCACGGCTACAAGGAAAAGGCCAGGCAGCTTCTAAACTCATGGACCCTTGTCCATTAAAAATACCCTATTAATAGAAAAAGAGAGAAACTAATTGATAGAAATTCCTTCCTCATCCCCTGACATCTGTTTTCATCCAGGTTTCCTTGAAAGCATAATGCTATCTTTCAGTTAAACAGTCTCCCTAAATCTCTTAATAAAAGAAGGCAATAAAAAGTCTGGTGGTGGCACACGCCTTTGATCCCAGCACAAGGGAGGCAGAAGAAAGGTAGATCTCATGAGTTAAGACCAGCCTGGTCTGCAAGAGCTAGTTCCAGGAGAGCCTCCAAAGCCACAGAGAAACCCTGTCTCAACACCTCTCCCACACAAAAAAAGTCTTCATGAGTTAGTGGCTAATTACAGTAGGGATTTTAAGAAGAAAATTTGGATGGTCCAGTACCCTGTGCTTTAGATTAATTATTTTATCAAATAGCTAGGTGAGTGGAGACCTTGGAGGTGAGTGAGCCCCTTTTGTCAAGCATAGATTATCTAATTTCCATAAACCTATGAAATGGGACCAGCATTGCCAGTTTGCAGGTAAGAAACGAGGCTCAGAGAGGTCCAGCTGCCTAAGGTCATGCAACCAGCTAGTTGCAGAATCGTCTGAATAACCCATTTGGTGACTAAGAGTTAGCCTGAGGGCTGTCACAGCAAAAACGGAAAGGGCAGACGTGTTCTGATGTGAGTACCCAGAGAGTGTGTGTGGATTTATAGTGGCCATTAGTTGGGGATTGTTTCCTATGAAGGCATGTTGCATGTTCCCCTCACTGGTGTTGACAAGCCTGGCTAACTCTCCTCCTCTGGCAAATACAGAGAGAAGCCATGTGGTAGGTAGGGGCAGTTGCTGGGGTGGCTAGAGAGCTTTCCACTTTTGGTTTTAAAGGTGGAAAGAAGCAGTTGTCCTACTGACTTTGGGCTAGTGTACCAAATGAACCACAAACTGGGTAGTTTAAATGACTTACTCCTGAGTATTGGGGCCAGGAAGTCCAAGATCCAGAGGCAGACAGTGAAAAAAAGAACTCTAGTTTCTTTCTCTTTTGATAAGGACAGTGATCCTGTCAAAAGAGCTCTATCATCATCCTCTCATCTAAATGTAATGATTTCCTAAATGTCCGACTGTGCATGCCTGTTATCGCAGCTCTAGAGCTGTGGAGGCAGGAGGATCTCAGGTGGGAAGCCAGCTTGAACTACAGTGTTTTAAAGGAAACAAACCCAAAGGCCTCATTTCTTAAGACCATCTTACCAGGGGTTATGATTTCAAATATGTGAGTTTAAAAGGTACACAGACATTCAGTCACATAGCAGTACTCATTGGATGGCCAGCTGTAACATCAGTTAATGACGTTAAGTAAACTGCTCCATTTGCTTAAATTTCTGACCTCTCAGATTTCACTTTAAAAATGTATGTGGGGTGTGCACATATCATAGCATGCCTGTGGAGGTGAGAAGACAGCCTGCAGAAGTTGGTTTTCTCCTTCCACAGTGTGGTCCTGGAGGTGGAACTCAGGCCGTCAGGCTGGGTGGCTGTGCCCTTATCTGCTGAGCCAACCTGCCAGCCCCTTGTGCCTCTTGAAGTGAGAATGTTTTATAGTGATATATTCAGATACCATGAACTCAACCTTTTTTAATGTAAAATTCTGTTGACTTTGCCGTATTTACAAGGTCGTGCTGCCACCACTGCCAACTATTCCCGTGACATTTTGCCGTCCCTTAAACAAATCTCTGCACCTTTTAGTGGTTTCTGGACCCACCACCCCTAAACAACCACTGATTAGACCCCATAACATTTACTTGTGTTTTCCACAGCTCTGGTGGCACTGTCCTTCAGCGGGGCTATTGGGCTGACTTTTCTTATGCTGGGATGTGCCTTGGAGGACTATGGGTAAGTTGTTTGAAAAAAAAGAATTACTCTGTGTGTGTGTGTGTGTGTGTGTATGCGTGTATGCGCGTGCTCACACACCCACGCACGGGCGTGCATGTCCATGAGCACGAGTGTATGCAGTTGTTTGTGGAGGTGATTTGTCTTCCAGTCTCTTTCCCAGCTAGTCTCTAAGTGAACCTGGAGCTTGCGAGACTGGCTCCTGTCTCTACCCCTACCCCCCCCCCCCACCTCACCCCAGTGCTGGGGTTACATGTGTTTGTATAGCAAGCACTTTACCTACTGAGCTGTTTCCCCAGCTCTCAAAGAAATGTCTTTTTGTGTCTCTGTTACTGTTACTGTCAAAGTCTGATCAGTGTGGCCCATGCTGTAATGCATGAGTTGGTGAAGTCTAGATTAGGAATTCAGTCCCTTCAGGCACCAGTGTATTTGTGTAGAAGAAAGCTCTGTTAAAAAGAAAATGGATGTATTCATTTAGTAAACAGTTGTTAAGCTCTGAACCTGGAGCAGATGGGGATGGGAGAATGAGTCCTGGCCCCAGGTGCTTTCAGGTGAAGTCTGGGGGGCAGGGGGGAGGAAGAGAGAGAGAGAGAGAGAGAGAGAGAGAGAGAGAGAGAGAGAGAGAGAGAGAGAGAGAGAGAGAGAGAGAGAGAGAGACAGAGAGAGACAGAGAGAGACAGAGAGAGAGAGAGAGAGAGAGAGAGAGAGAGAGAGAGAGAGAGAGAGAGAGAGAGAGAGAGAGAGAGAGAGGAGACCTGTGCATTTCCCGAGCTAAGACTTAGTGGATGAGCAAGAGTTTCTCTGCATCCCAGGCATAGGGAACAGTGAGAAGCCCTTATCCTATAACCCACTAACTGGGGATTAAACCAGCTCTTTGGAAGAGGTTAGATTATGTGTCCCAGACAACGGGAGCTGGGAAAACATCATGAGGCTAGGTAGGAATGTGCCGACAGATTGTGCCGACAGATTCTGGGAGGACCCTAAGGGACCACTGTCAGGGACGTAGCAACATTGGGGCCCAGAGCAGTGGGAATGGGAGCAAATGGGAGGTGTAGACAGAAGCAGGTTTTATTCACTGCTCAGGGCTCAAGCAAGTTCCTGCCAGCCTGAATGAGTGGTGAGGGACTTGAATGCCTTGACCCTAAAGTGCGTGACTGAGACCAGTTGGAACCAGTTTTTGTGACCTTTGTCTTAGACTTTCTATTGCCAGGATTAAAAACAAAAACAAAACAAACAACAACAACAACACCCCCCCAACCCCCCACCCCCACAAAACCACCGTGGCCAAAAGCAGCTTAGGGAGAAAGGGATTTCAGCTTACAGTTGTAGTTCATCATGAAGGGAGTCAGGGCAGGCAATCAGGGCAGGAACTGAAGTGAGGCGTGCTGCTTACTGGCCTGCTCCTCTCTGCTTCCTTTCTTATACACCAGGATCACCTGCTCAGGGTGGTACCACACGTAGTGGGCTGGACCGTCCACATCGATGATAAAGCAAGAAAGTGCCCCACAGGCTAGCCCATAGGCCAACCCTACAGAGGTATTTTCTCAAGTGAGACTCCCTCTTCTCAAATGACTCTAGCTTATAACAAGTTGGCAAAAAACTAACCAGGAAAATATTTCTGAGTTAAAATCTACCATGGAGTTAGAAGTGTTCACACACACATCACTGAAACATGACATAAGCAAAAGCATTTGTTCAGTTTTCATGGCCATGGCTGTGTTCTTGTTTCGGGATATGTTGTTCCTCTTCCTACCTGGGAAAGCAAAGCCTGGACAGTAAAAACCGTGCTGGCTGTACAGTAGTAAATGGTAGACGTAGATGTGGCACTCTGCTCTGCTCTTGGCCATGGCGCTTTCTCTCATTCCATGACTAACTGAATCCTGGTGTTTGGATTCAGGGACAGTTCCTTAGATTGTGCCTCAGAAAACTGTCAAAGTATTCCAGGGAGAGTGCAGGTACCAGTTAGGTCCCTCCTCTGTAGCTTGCTCCTCACTGTCTTGGTCCTGATATTACCCAGCAATATTGACAGTACTTTCCAGTTATTTCTAGAATATATTCCAATAACCTCTGTAGTTTCAAATGAGGAGCCCACATTCATTGTTTCCATCCGGAGTCTGCTTGCTGAAGGACACTCCCTCCTTGCTTCCTGGTTATCACCCGGACTTCCTACATCTGTAGCTTCACCCCAGGGGTGCTTGCTGTGTGGGTGGATCTGCATGATTACTGTTTGGTGATGGTGTGTGTTATTGTGCCTTGTGCTTATGATAATGACTGGCTGGTGTGTTTTTCTTGAATGGGTGGCTAACCGAAGGAGACAAGGGTGATAGTATTTATAGGGAAAACACAATTAGAAATCCAATGGCTAGTCTTAACAACTGGGGGTGGTTTTCCCCCTTTGTGTGAAATTATACTTGTAATTATCTACTGTAATAAAGGTGGGGTTGGGTACATCTAGTGAGCAAAAGTGCATTTTCATTCCTTCCTTACTAAAATATTTTGTTTTCCCACCCATTTAACAATCGTAAATGGAACATCCCATTCCAGGCTCTGGAGATAAATGGAGATTGACTAAGACAAATTACCATCTCTGTTCTAATGAGCACAAAGATATCAAATGGTGTTGTTCAGAAAGCTAGAAAGGGGTGCTGTGGGCAAGGTTCACTGACGTCACCTTCAGGAAGGGCTCCCCCAGCTTAGACTGAACCGAAAGTGAGAAGAGCCCAAGGCAAGCTTGAGACCAGAGCATGCAAGGAGCAGGGAGAGGGCTGCCGTGGCTATAGGTTCAGAGAATGTGAGGGTGGGGTAGTCTAGAATGAATTGAAGACATGGAAAGCAGCGGATATGAAGCCTGATTTGTGTTTCATTTTAAATCATTGGACGCTTTCGTGCCTGCATGCACTCAGAAGAGCTCCATGAAACTAGCATTTGTAAGCCATTGTACTATGTTCTCCAGGGGAAGCAGAGGTGACTTTTTAAGATCCTGTCCTTGGAGTTGTTAGTCAGGGCCAGCTATACAGCTCAGTGGTGGAATTCTTGCTGAGCTTGGACAAAGTCCTAGGTTCAGTCCCTGCTACTGCAAAAATCCTGCAGATCTGTAATGTAACACTCTATAGTTGTTTCTTAATGTAATATAAATGTGTGTATTAGAGAACAAGTAATATTTTTCTAACTGTATCTGTGCCTGGGAGAAATGTTTTCATGTTATAATAGTCATAGTCGATTAATGCTTTTACTTAAATAAATAATGATGTAAAATGATGATATCAAAACCACAGTATGCCACTGAGTTAAGATGTAACATTTCTTTTGGGTTTCATCTTGGTTCCATGGATGACAGCGTTTACTGGCCTCTGTTCGTCTTGATCTTCTACGTCATCTCCCCCATCCCCTACTTCATTGCCAAAAGGGTCACCTATGACTCAGATGCGACCAGCAGCGCCTGTCGGGAACTGGCGTATTTCTTCACTACTGGGATTGTTGTTTCTGCCTTTGGATTTCCTGTTATTCTTGCTCGTGTGGCTGTGGTGAGTTCTGTTGTCTATTGTTTTACTTGCAGTGAGGGTTTGTTTCAGAGGCCTGTGTTTGAGACCTCAAGTTCATTTTCATTGCTTCAGCTTTCCTTGAAGCTAGCTGTAGTGTGAGTTTCTCTCTCCTACTTGAGATTAATCAGTGTCTTGGTCATATTTTCAGAATGCTTTCTTTGTTTCTTTTAATGTTTAGTCACATCATATGACTTCTTGCTTTTTCCATATTAAACCATTCTTTCCAACCATTCTTAGAGTCCTGCCTCTTATAACACAGTGCAATCCATAAAGACAATAGAAACAATGCTAAGACAATCAGAAAATGAAGATCATATTGCATTGGAACCAGGAACTTATTTCTCAGTACTCTGGGTTATACTGAGAAGTATCTAGTGAGTGACATCACCACAGCCATTGTAGGCTTCTACCCCACCCCATGTAAATCAAACATTGTAAACATTGTGCGTATAATTTATTCAGTTCCTTGGTGTTCTTCAAATCTTCTTCTCTTTGTTTTTATTCTGCCAAACACATTGGCTATCAAACATCTACAAATATGTGCAAACCTTGTTTATTTATTCAGCACTAAATACCATTAATGAAATGCCAGGATTAAAAATTCCCTGGTGTTAGCACACAAAGAATACAATGATGTCCTGATGAGGATACTACATATGGGAGGGAAACCGATAAGAATACCATAGGAGTATCAAGCCACTACTTGATATGGGCCTGTAAAGCCCCATAGGCTTTTGAGTGAAGTAGAAAAGGCTGTTGGAATGGCACCCAAGTGTGAAAATGCAGTGTGTGGAGAAAAGAAGAGTACAACATGATGAAACACAAAGGAGGCCCTGAGAGTGAGGCCAGAAATGTGTCCTTGAGGAGCCGGGGCGCCTAATGCTGCCTCAGTGTGAGATTTTCTTAAGCCACGAGGCTCTCTGAAGCTCTGAACGCAAGGTGGCCTCACCCTCATTCTTCAGCCTCAAGTGTTCGTATTTGCACTTTCAACACTGAGGTTGTGTTTGGTGAAGAGACTTCCATTGATGTTTCCCTTGGTTAATTTGAAGCCAAAAGAAAGAAAAAAGAAAAAAATGCCCACTAGAGGGTACTCTGTCTCCATCTGTGCCTCCATAAAACCACCTGCCCAGCTGGGATATCCCTTTCATTCGCGTTGTTTAAGCATGCCTTGCCTAGAAAAGAAGCAAACAGATGTGGAACTTTCCAACCCCTGCTCTCTGTGAAAGCGAGTGATGGCTGCAGAGAATTTGCACCTAATGTTGTAATTGGATCATGTGTTTTGCTTGAGGCAAACTAGAACCATCGTCAACTAGAACCAAGTAGAGGAACAACGTAAAGGATGACACTAGAATTAATGAGCAAACATCGTGAAATCAATTAGACGAATGACTGAGAAGTTCACTGTCTTCCTCCCATGATGTGACTCAGCCTTGTAGCAGCCCTGTGTTAACGTTTCAGTGGGGGTTTCTGGTGCAGGGAATAGGAGATTTACAAAGAGTACCTTCTGAAGATGACTTACTCCTTCTCTTGTGTTTCAGATCAAGTGGGGAGCCTGTGGCCTTGTGCTGGCTGGCAATGCTGTCATTTTTCTCACAATTCAAGGCTTTTTCCTCGTATTTGGAAGAGGAGATGACTTCAGTTGGGAACAGTGGTAGCCCCTTACTTTGATGGAAAGCATAGAGTTTCTTAGAATTTGTACTGTATGTATAAGTGTGCATATGTGGAGGTTTCTTACAGATTTTAATACGCTGAGTTTTTTATACCTTTACATCATGACCATCTTAGGGAAGATGTAAACAAAAGATGAGTTTTATTCCTAGCAAATAGATCACTCCATTGACTCAGATTTTGCTTGGGATATACGTGGGTTACCAGAGACCCTGGGACAGGTCTGTAACAGCCCAGGCAGAGTTGGCGTTCCCTCTGTACACTGTAGCCTCTTCTCAGATCGAGCCTCACCCACACAAAGCATCAGCATTTGCTAGGCACTTATCGGGAATTCGGGGGTTCAAAGCCCTCATTATGTCAAATGCATTGATGAGAGTTCATGTTTGTCACATGCATGTCGGAGTTTGAGAAGCTTTGTCACAGAGGAATGAGCATCATGTCTGCTCCCTTGGCTTCTCCTTGGCACAACCACTGAACCTCTCTGGGTGTACCATGCTCATTTGCAAAAAACAAAACAAAACACAAAAAAATCCTGCCCCACGTTAAGAATCAGTTCGTACTCGATCTTTCTAAAATGTTTAAACCTATAATATTTGTGATGTTCCTCAGATTTTGGGGTACCTGGGTAGGGTGTACCCCTTTAATCCCAGTACTCAGGAGGCAAAGCAGGTGGATCTTTGTGAGTTTGAGGATAGCCTGGTCTACAGAGTGAGTTCCAGGAACAGCCAGGGCTACACAGAGAAACCTTGTCTTGTAAAAACAAAACAAAAACAAAAAAACCCCAAAACAACAACAAAGAAAACAAACAATAACAAATTGGGGAGTCCTTTTCTTAGGAGGGAATAGATGGATCCTCAGATCATTTGGAGGGCAATGGCTGTTTGTACAGAACAAATCACAAGATAACTCAAAAGCCCCTTTGGGTGCATGGAGGGAAGCTGGACTGGAATCCATCCCTGCTTTAAGTGGAGGGGAGGACAGACAGTTCTTTGAAAATTCCCCTTAAAACCTTTCTGCTGTCTCCTGTCCCCTACTCCCAGCCTTCCCATTTTCTCTAGATGGCTTTGGCCTCTCCTGGAGGTGTCAAGAGCAAGCAGCCTGTGAGGGCTTCTTGGGATTTACACATTGGTGCACTTTTTGTCCTTTGTACTGAATTTGATGTCACCTCCACAGGAAACTCAAGGATCCATGTCACATTGGTTTTAATAAACAGTTTTTCTAGCTTGCCCTTTTTATCTGCTACCTATGAGGAGAAGGGAGTGAAAAAGGCCACCTCATCGGGCTGTTGTTGGCTGTGGTTAAGCATTAATGTTGGTAGCTAGGGAGGGTCCAGAGCCCTCCTCTGAAGCTTGTGGTCTGAGGGACCAGCACACCCTCCACAGGCTGGAGTGACACTGCAACCGGCAGGTGAATGGACAATGGACAGCATGCAATGTTACTTTTTGGCCTTGTGCATGATATTATGTTTTCAATATTTTGTGTACATATAGAGTTGTTGTCATTTCTAGTATTTACATTCGAAAAGTTATTTAGATACTTGATCATTTTAACCAGCATTTTTAATCATGGCACTTACTATTGCAATAAATTTGACTTTAAACCCCCAAGGAGAGTTGAGTTTCATGTTTTTCATTGGAATGGACAGTTTGAGCAATAATCCTGTCTTGGAATAACAGTGGTGACTTCTGTGGTGCTGTCTGAGTGTCCAGTTGACTGTAATAACTTTTCTTTCCCTCAGATGGCAATAGGCACCCGTCAATTTATTCTACTCTGTTCAGAAGTGTCTTGGTTGTTTGTTTATGCACATCTCAAGTAACCATGAAGGCTCTCTCTCCCCTTTCTCCTTCTAAGCTGGGGTCTTAGTAACCCAGGCTGCCCCCAAGCTCACCTGATACCTGATACCTCTGCCTCAGCCTCCCAAGTGCGTGTCATGATTACATTAAAGCCTTTCACAGCTGTGCCATTATGAATGGGTTGCGGCAGGTAGGCTGTGTTGGCCCTGACCTGTAAGACGGAAGGCCCCCACCTAAGTTGAAACAGCAGTCCTGTTTCAAAGGTGGGAGATTTTGGAGGAAGGACAGAGGGAGTTCCCACCTCTTTTATTCAGAACAAGGTCTTTCTTCATTAGTTTTTACTCCTTCCTGCCTCCAGGTACCCTTAGGATCCAGGCACCTTCCAGTGAGTTTGACCTACTCCTCTTCCAACCAGGGATCTTTCTACATCAACTTCACCCCCCAGGCCCCGTTAATCAACTTTAGTTGATAATCCCGTGCTGTTGGAAGTCACCTGATTCAGTTTCTTCACAGAAGGAATAGATGCTGTCTGTTTCCTCTCCCTTCTGAAATTGATGTCAGTACCAGCAGGTCTCCCACGTGCTGCTGTTAAGTGCTTGTGAGTACCTCCCGACCCCCTGCTCAGTCACAGAAGAACAGACAAGCAGTCCAGCCATGACAGTGTTTGGGATGGGGCAACCCATCCCCTCTTCAGTTTCCAGTTGTTTTCATGGTCACAGGTGCTTATCTGACCCCTGCTCTTAGTTACCTCCCTGCCAAGGAGTTTTCTAGAAGCTGAAATGTTTCGTTATGTTAATAACTCCTCTGATACTCTAAAGGAATGCTCAGATGATGCCAGAAATGTGCTTTCTCATAGTTTACTAAATTAAATTTTGTATCCTAATAGAACCAGAATGTTGTAATGCCAGCATTTTCCAAGCATAGTAATTAATTATAGCCTGATACATTATCCTGTAGATGAATGTAACTTGTGTGTTTCTATTCTCTTCATTTTGTCTCGATAATTGCTTTTTTTTTTTTTTTGCAAAGGTTCTAGGTTACGAATTATGATTTGCTTTCAAATGGCCAGGCTGCTAAGGTAGAGCAATGATGTGTGCAACCCAACTCTAAAGCCAGAGGTCTCTGAGTCTGCCTTTTGGTGTGTGGCGTGATGAAAATGGTCACTTTTCAAGTGACACTTGTTGCTTAGCCCTTCAGTGGAAGCTTTTATGCACATTATTAAACTTAAAAGATGCTATTATACCCTGGCATGCATCGTATCTGGAAAGGGACCAGAAGGTTTGTTTTCCTGTGCTTTTGTCTGGATAAGCTTAGTGTACATCTGACTGGTTGTGATCTGCTCTTGCTGTAAGTGAAGAGAAGCATTCCCGGCACTGGAAGTCCAGGCTTTCATTACAACTGTACTGGGGCAGTCTCCCTTGGGAGGTGGCAGACTTGAGTGCAGGTAGAATGGCAAGGTTGATCCAGACTGCTGCACTGAAGGGGTGGAGAGATGAGTCAGTGGAGAAAGAGCTTGCTACCAAAGTGTGAGAACAGGGTTTCGGTTCTTGACAAGAGAGAGACCTCTTAGCACTTGCTATAAAGATGCACGCACACACGCACAAATGCACCCACTCTCCTGGAAATAAAGGCAGCGCAGCTCTTCTCTTAGCAAAAACAGCCAGGCATCTTGTCTGTCTTTTCCTGATACCTTGGACTTGTTTGTAGTGTGGGAGCCACACTTATGCATTAATTATTCTCAGAATAATTCAAACTTAGTGCTAATAATTATCATGCAGTTGTTAACTCCCAATGCTTTGCCTAAAATCTGTTTATCCCTGATGGTCACTCACTTTATAAGTTAAAGTATGAAGGTAGCTGTGCTTCTGTCTCAATACTTTCATTTCCTCTGTATTACCATATTCTGCCAGTTTCAGAATTCTCAGAGTTCTCCCCAAACTGTGTGCTTGTTCCCCTAACATAACCACAGGTTTTTGGCACTTCTGTTACAGAAAAGCCTGTGCTCCAACAAGTCATGTTTGGATGCCAACCTTTTTTTTTTTCTCCCCTCCTTAGGTTGTTTTGAGACATGGTCTCTCTTTGTAGCTCTGGAGGTCCTGGAATTCACTATGTAGACCAGGTTGGTGTCTAACTCACAGAGATCCACCTGCCTCTGCCTCTGGAGTGCTTGGCTTAAAGGTGTGTACCACCATGCCTAGTCTGGTCTCTCAACTTTAATAAACCAATTAAAAGAGCCAGATTAATAATGAAATAATGAAATCACTCACTTGGTGATTTTATGCTGTCTCATTGTATTAGTTACTTTTCTGTTGCTGTAACGAAACACCATGGCCTAGTCAACTTATGGAAGATTTTATTTGGGTTCATAGTTCCTAGTGGTGGGGACAGGATGACAACAGGCAGCATATGTGGTGGCTGGGGCTAGAAGCTAAGAGCTAGCTGGGATTTATGTCAAACTGCAAGCATGAGGCAGAGGGAGTTAACTGGAAATGGCTCATGACTTTGAAACCTCAAAGCCCTGTCCCAGTGACACACTTCCTCCTGCAAGACTTCCCTGAGCCCCATCCCCAACTGGGGACCAAGTATCACACAGTTGAGCATAGTGGAGCTGTTCTCATTGCAAGTACCACACTTGCTTTGCCTGTTGTAGGTAGACAACACACATTTCTACTTCTGGGGTAGACTCCTCTAACCCCCAGAATTGGCTACACAGCTGGCAGTGCTTCCTGTTCCCTTGAGTCTGGACGTGGGGCATGCAAAGTCAAGCTCGTGATTCTCTGTTAGGTTTCAGTTTCTTGGGCCAAAAGACTTAAAATGTATCAAAGCTGCATTTTTTTGCTGTCCCACATTAATTTTTGTCTATTCAAGGAGATGTGCAACCACCACCTTTACTTTCAGAATGTGTTCATCATCCCACATGAAATCGCATGTGTGTTAGCCGTTGCTCATTTCCCTAGCCGCTCTAGAAAATGCTATGGCCCTGGAGCCTTTTTTTTCTTTCAGTAGCAGACACACAGCAGACCCTGGAAGGCATCCTTGTGCTGCAGCTCCATATTTAGGTGGGGTGGGAGGACTTATCTCGCTGTTTTCTCTTGTCTCTTACCACAGCAAAGTAGCTTGCATGCTTAGATAATGGTTCTCAAAGTGGACATCCTCAAGACCCCTCAACATTCGTCTAAAAAGCGCCCCCAGTGACTGCTAATGGAATGTATGCTAGCATAGTCTGATTATTTAGAAATTTCCAAAATTCATGTGCATGTTAAAATGTGCATTTTTATAAATTGACTTATTTTTCACTTGGTTCTCCCTTCCTTGATTTTTTTCCAGTTATATCTGTTATAATATCTGTAAACCCATTATCCTAATGAGTGGTTATTTAAAAATTCCCCAGACAAGTTAAAAAACAAAATAGCCCCTGAATTGCTGTTATGGTTTGAATATGAAGTGTTCTCACAGACATGGATTGCGGACACTTTGTTCCCAGCTTGTGGGGCTATTTGGGGCGACTGGGGAAACTTTGGGGTAGGGAATAGGATTAACCTGGAGGATATAGGTCACGGGACATGGGTCCTTGGAGTATTTTATCCCAGGTCTCTTGTGAACAGCTTCTGCAGCACTCTTACTACCAGCAGGCCCAGAAACTCAGAGCCACGTCACTGAGAACTGACCCTTGACACCGTGAGCCAGATAGCAACACCAGAAGTAAGTAATGCAGTTAGGAACTGAAGGTGTGTGTTAGCTGGGACACTGGTTAGATTATGGTCACAATGAAAACGAGCGGTCAGAGAAGCCACCAATGGTGGCACATACCTGTAATTCCAACATTTGGGAAGCTGAGTCATGAAAATCATTGTATATGGCAACTTCATACAATTTACCTGCCAATTAAGAAACTAACGATGATATGGCCAACACAAAAAGGACTCCTTTTGTTGGGGAATAGGCTTTTTGTTTACTTTGTTTTTGTCTTATTGGGGGTTTTGATGTTGCTTTTTCTTTTCTTGTTTTGAGATAGATAGAAAGAACATGAGGTTGGGTGAATAGGAAGTAGAGAGGATCTGGGAGGAGTTGGAGAGGGGAAGGAATATAATCAAAATAAATGGTATGAAAACATTTTTAATAAAAAGGATGAAATTTGACAATTTTCCTTCCTTTCTCTCTTCCTTCAGATTAGTATTTGAATCTATTCCTACATCCCAAAATAACAAGGGGTCAAGTCAAAAACTGTTTCTAACAGTGTTGGTATTATTCTAAGAGTCTAGAGGGATTTGTAGATTCTTGTGTCCCAGAACAAAGAATTTGATGAGCGACATATGACTTGTGATAGAAACAGAGACCTGTTTATTAAGAAAGAGAAGGAAAGGACATTTCTGAGAGTTGAAATAGGTTACAGAGCTGGGCCAGGTCCATGGCTCAAAAGCCTGTGACCACAAGCCCCCTGGTCTTTTATAGGTAGGTCATTTACCTGGTAGCCACCTCTTCCCTCACTCAGAGATCACAGGGATTTTCTAGAAAACACATGCTCTATTTTGTTACATGTAGCCCAGGTATGAAGGGGGTTCCAGTCTTTGCCAGCTGGTTTCTTTTGTGTTAATTGATTTGAATTAAAAAAAGTTTAGTATTTGTGTGTAATATGTGCTCATGTTTGTATGTCTGTGAGTGAACACATTCCAGGACACACTGTGGAGGTCAGAGGATAATCTCAGATGTCAACCCTAACTTTCTATGTTGTTTGAGACAGAGTCTGTGTTGTTTGGTGCTGCCTGTGCTAGGCCATTTAGCCCACATGCTTCCAGAGGTTCTCCTTTGTCTCC